ACTTCCACATAAATGGTGGTGTTAAAAGCAAAACAAAAATCAAAAACTAAAATCAAAAACTAAAATCAAAAATAAAAATCAAATTTAGAAGAAATCCCTGTAGGTTCGGATCCCGCGCTTCTCGCCCGTTCCCTTTCCTGTCACATCTTCCAAGTGACACTTTCTGACCTTTGCTGAGAGCAGAAGATGAGCTCGCAGGCACCCTTTTTCCATCTGGTGTCCTACTGTTAGTATGTTGAAGCCTCGACGACTTCACTGAGGCTGGCCGCAACCTTAAACCTCCTCTTCGGCTTCCAGAATCCCAAAACCCGATCCGTCCGACATATAGACGTCGTTCTTTGAGCCGTGCATCGCCTGAATGGCTATTTCGGCTGCAGCTTTCATTCGAGCATAATCGACGTGACTTTTCTGCTCGGCTTTGCAAATTAATGCAAGCTGCTCTTTTTTCACCGGGCCGAACTTGCTGGGTCTAGCTTTGCAGAACTGCGAGTCCGATCGATGAGGTCCACTACAGTTTCGGCACTGTGTGGGGGCTTTGCACTCCGTTTCAGAATGCATTTTTGATCCGCAGTTCCAGCAAGCCGGAGCGCGGGAGCAACCGCGTGAGGCATGGAAGCCAAGACATTGTTTGCACTGAACTATATTTCGACGAGGTTGGAAGAGCTTTGCAGCTCCAGAGTCATTGAAGAGGCGAAATCCAGGTCGAGGCGTGGATTCGCGAGGGAAGAGCGCATGCCAGTTCTGGTATGGCGCCCCAGGTTTGCAGGTCCCGTGAGGACGAACAAGAAAAGGAACTTATTTGGTCACTTGCGTGACTTCATTGGCGACCATCTTTTCCGTGATGAAAACGGAACCTGTGAGTGTATTAATTCTCAGCGGGACGGTGGCAATTAGTAGGGCAACCAGATTTGACGCTGGTTCCAATTTAATTCCTGATTCTCTCCTTTCTACGGAGGAATCAAGGAGCTCTTTTCGAGCGAGTTCATCCTTTGCTGTTAGCGCAAAGACTGTTTTGACCCGCTGAACCAACATGATATTGTTGGCTGCCGTACCGAGTGCCTCTGAGACAGCTGATCTTACGCCAGCTGGTACGAGGAGTCGGTGGGTATGGTCGTTATCGAGGCGTAGAAACAGTCGCGTATCGACCACTGTCCTCGTATTGGCTCCCTTTGCTTTTGGAGCGGGCGGGGCTGCCTTTTTTGTTGATGGCCCAGTGCTGTGGCCAAGGCCTGCTCGGGCTACATTCGCCCAAGTTGTCTTTTGAGCCGGAGCCTGGGTTGTCGAGGGGTTAGGTACCCTGATTTCATGAGCCCTCGGCGGAGGAAGATTGCTGGGGCGCACAGGGAGAGCTGGTGGAGTGCTTCCTGGGCCTGATTGTATGAACTGGCCAATGGCCGCTCGAAGGTAGACTTTGATACCGTCTACAAACTCTTTTTCGTCGCCAATCGAGAGAGGCGAGAGTGCTGCTTCAACACTGCTTATTGCAGTGGAACAGATTGATAGACGTGCTTTTATTTGCGTCGTGCGACGCTTCTCGGCTTCCATCACTGATTGCAGCTCCGGAGGATATTCCGGTGCTGATGTCGAAGCTGTGCCTTTTGGAGTTGGCACAGTGAATTTTCTTGCAGATGTTTCTGCTTGTTCTGTTGTCTTCTCTCGGACGACTTCATTTCCTTTCCTTGAATTGCTTGCCTCCGGGGCAAGCTGGATGGGAATGTTGGTCTTGGGACCAATTTTCTCTGACCTGATGGGCTCAGAATCAGTCATCTCTTTATCGGGAAGGTTTGGAGACTTCCCTTTGATGAAGGCCTCACTCGCAAACATGCTTGAAAGTTTTTGAGCGAGGCCTGGTGTTTTTGCAGGAGCCCTCGGGCGGACTCTCGTGTTGTCCAACTTGGCGTTGGGACGCTTTTTTCGAACAGGTGGCATGGTAAAAATGCCAATGACTCGATGATAATTTTTTGATAGAATGCGACAAGCGCGAAAGGGAGGGAGAGGGGGAAAAGGTGAAGATTCGAAAATTCGAATTTAGAAAAATTGGTTGTGATATGAGCTAGCACGACGTTCATTCATTGATCTAGTTAAACGTCCTATGCGGTATCTATATATAGAACCATGAAGACGGTAAGCCGCTCTGGTAAGGGAAAAAGCTTTCAACAAACAAAACCCGATGTCCTGCCACTTTGAACCGACCCGGCTTTATGCTGAGGACGTTCCTTTCAACCGCAATTATGTAAACTCTCCTCGAAATTCGTTAACTCCCCCTTCAATCAGACCATCGTTATGAGAAATTAAAAAGAGAAGGCACCTCCTCACTCGGCGTTGGTCTTCGAAGTGTTCGAAGAGTAGGTCCCGATGGCGGTGCTGCTGTCGAGGCGATGATTGGTGCCGCTGGGGCTTCGACTACCTTGCGTGGTCGTCCCGGCCCTCTTTTGAGTACTTCAGCCTTTTTACTGGTGACCAAAGTAAATCCCTGATCATCAGTTGGTACGACTGTTTGCGTTGGCGCCATTGTTGGTTTTTCATTCCAAATATCTGCCGTTCTCGATAACAGCTCCATCCGAGCCTTCTCCACACTACCCTTGTAAACCTGGTAGGTCCGACACGCTGCTTTCTGCCATGAACGATGTTCCTTGCCGCAGTGGGCACAAGAAACTCATTTCCTCGGACAGTCCCGAGTTTGGTGAGCGCCAGCGCACTCACCGCACCTGGCTGCCTTTCCACACGACGCCTGCGTGTGTCCCCATTGGCTGCAGTTGTAACATTGCTTTGGCTGAGCCCGTGGCGACCATACCTGCGCGGTGAAGAGCATGGCGTTAATAATAAGGCCCTGTCGAACTACCTCTGTTTGCATTGCCTCCGATGGGAGGCTGACCACAATTGAACCACGATTGCGACCGTTTTTCTTCGATCGCTGATGCTCCTTTCCATCATGTAGCCATCGTATTCTGCTAATTACCAGGCCTGGAATACGTACCTTCGTCGCCGTCTCAATCTCCCTGATGATGGCGTAGTTGTTGGCATCTCTGCCACCCTCAATTCTTGTCCGCAGTGGGACTCCGGAAACCTCAACAGGAAAGTCTTGCCGCAAAATTTTAAATTCGCTTGGTTGTCGCATGTTTAGCGCCGCGTCTCTCTGGGACGCCGACTGGACAAACACCTCGGTGTCGTTGCTTCGCATCTGTCGAATTGCAAATGCGCCTTGAATGTGTTGTTGTGCCTTTGAGAGCAGCTCTTGTGGCTGCAAGTTTTGTGCGCCATCGATTCTTATTCTAACCGCTGTCTTCGTCATTTGCGGAGCCACGACCGACGCGTAGCTCCTTGGTGTCGGCGCGCCCGAAACCGCTGCTGGTGCAGCTTTTCGAGCAGGATCTGCGAGGCTCTTTTTAACAACCTCCTCGAGCGCCATCATCCTCTCCTCGATAGGAGACTTCTTCTGGGACATTTCCGTCCAGGCCCTTTTGTGCGCGTTGAAGGCCTTGACGGCCTCGTTCACGTCCTCCATTGAGGGTAGGTCCCCTCATCCACCTCTCCCATCACGACTAGTCTGGCCTGTTTCAATAGTTTCCCTAGGATTTCAAGGTTCTTATCCTTTGGAGCTGTTTGCGCTCCGCTGCCGTTGTTTGATTGTGCCATTGTCGCATTTTGCGACGCGTCGAAACCACTGGATTTACCCACACCAGCACCCACACTCGCCATGTTGGAGCACGGAAAGCGAAAAGATGAGAGGAGGGTAGTAGAGATGTAAAAATAATAATCACGATGTCAAATTGATGATACGGGCAGCGTGGAACGCTGCGCAGCTTTCTGGCAAAATGATCGCTAGTACGACTTTAAATAATTATTAAATCAAAAAAAAACTTCTTAAACGATTCAAGGCCGATTACCTTACTAGTTGCAGTCACTTGCGTTTTCCTCTTTTTTTTTTTTTTGCATCAGATTTTAATTGCGTATGCATCTATCTAGCTATGACACAATATAAAAGAAAAATACAGAAAAGATGACTCAATTTACAAGAGGAGCACTCATGCCTCAGATTTCATTTGCAAGTACCACTGCGAAGTTATGGTGGCTTTTTCTTCACCCCAAGTCAACCCTCATCCGTGAATACCCACTCAGGGGAACATCTCAAAAACCGAATCCTTAACATAGCTTAGCGTCCTCATGGTTCTATACATAGATACTTCATAGGACGTTAAATTGGGGAAACGAATAAGTAGATGATCACTACTAGATTAGAATTTACTGAAATTGCAGTTCATCCGAACAGCTTTCGTTTCTTTCTACAAATTAAAATCATTAACTCAGTTTAATCTCTCTCTAACTCTGGTTTCCATCATAGTCAATTTACACCGCGACAACATATCCCTCCATGTTGGATACTGATTCAAGTCCAAAATAATCGTTACATAGAGAATCCTCTTCCGAACATCAATGTAACCTCTCATTTCAGCCGTCAAAATGTTCACTCCAACAGGAGCTGGTACCATAGCTCCAACACGTCGCTGCTGATAAAGAATTCAGTAGAGAATACGTGCCACATAGAGGAGCATAGTAAATTTTAGTACATTATCTTAGAGCGGTTGATTCAAAAAATGGACGAATTCCTCAATATTCATGTCTTCTACGGAAGTTAATTTGATGTCTATATTTGATGCTGTAGCAGATTTAGCTTGCCCACACTCGTGACAATATCCAGGTACTGTCAGCGAATAGACAGGTTGGTAATTACAACGTAAAGATGGTCATCTCTGTCATTGAGAATACAAAGGTTGTTATATATAGACAAATCAAGGTCCATAGCTTTCCTTTCCTCGGTGTGAAGAAAATCAAAGTCAGTTCTAGAATAGAAAACGCCGTGTATTAATTTGCATCTTTTCCATAGTTGGCTGTTCATCTCTTTATTTTCAATACTGCTTGTGGGTCCTACTTGGACTATTGAATTGCTACAGTCTGGTTTCCTGTTAATACCATGACTAGAACGAGTAGATTTGATTTATTTATTTGATAACCTCAACACGCTTTGGAACGACAGGTGTAACCTCAAATACACCACCTAGTAGATTTCGAATAACTTCACCTTCTCCCTTCTTACCAAATTCCAGAATTTGCTTCATTTTGGAGTCAGCTTCACTAATCGCATCCTCTTCAGCTTTCTTGTTGTTGGAGGCATGCTTAGCACAAATGGCAAGTCAGCAATAGTTTCATCAATATACTAATAGTAACGTCCTGAATATTTCCATACCTCAGATTCAAATCTTTTAAATTCTAAATCTTTCTTTGCTTTGTAGGCGTCAACTTCTTTCTTGGCCTCGTCTCTTGCTTCCTTGACACGTTTGGTTCGATCTTTCTTGTTAGCCGCGCATTGATTATGCTTAGATTAGGAGGAGCTCTCACATTCTCGTGCTTTCCGACGAGTTAGCTAGATGATTCGACAAAACAGTAAATAGCTAGGATTTACCTTTCTGGACTATCCTCTGTGCATCCCTCTCTGCCTGTTTCCCTGCGAGTTAGCTGTATATTTTTCGGAATCATAGAATTCCAGATTCCGTGAGACCTCAGCTCTATTCTTTTTCTTTCTCCAATTATCTAGAACTTACGTCCAATAGGGTTTGGATACCCGCAGAATTCTGGGCCGACTTGACAGGACAGTTAGCCTGAGACTCAACACGCTAGACAATTAAATACATACCATTGTTCGAGGGGCGTTGATAAACAAATAATCTATTTAGGATAATAGGAGTGGATTTTGTGCTCTGTGCTCAACATAAATCAAAGGAAATTGATGTGTAACAAATTACCAATGCGTACTCCTTCGATAACTTAAAAATAGACCCATGTAGGTAGTCAGTTGTGAAGGTACACATTGATTGCCACATGGATCGCACGCTACCCGCGGATCCCCACTATTCCCTATTAGGACACAATTCGCCATTCAAGAGAAGACAACATTTAGCACCAGCTATTGTGGATATGTTTATAAAAAATTCGAAGATCAAGTCAAAAACGATAGATATCAAGGGCTCAGGCGCCTAAATTTGAGTCTGTGAAGGAAATTGCGCTACAGCGTGTACATATCGGGCTTATCACAATTCCATCCAAGAACCAACTGTGGAGTGGTAATGTGATTAGGTGGAACGAGATACTTGTTGTATAGTTTTTATTTTGCTACTTGAGTCTATGATCATCTAGCACATTGAGCTCCTCGCTGACCTAGGCCTCACCTTCTACAATGCTCCTATCCTCTTTCATTACTCAAAAGATCTCTGGTATAACGCCAATGATGGATAGCCGTTTAGCTCAAAATTTAACCGTAGAATGCAGCCATCTTTTTCACGGAACCATCTAAGGACAAAATTTAAAAATTTCTCAAAAAACGTGCAGCCCCAGCCGGGCGAGGCCTAGACACTGGAGTTACGAGGTGTGCATATCCATCTACATGTTTCAATTATGTAAAATTAGAGGTCAAATTGATACAATTTACCATCACCCTACGATGTGCTGGGTACACTCCAAACTTGACGGATGGCTCCTCCATGCCCAAGGGTGGTTAACAAGTTGGTCTTCGACCTGCATATCTGATCTGAATGTGATCAACTTCATGATAATGCGGCTCGGGGGATATGCTGAGAGATGAAGCCAATGGACACCACTGATGGGTCTTGTGTCTTCCTCTTTCATCCAAATCTAGAGCTCCAACTCCAATATGAGGATCGATCTGATGGAGGGAGTAGGGATCACAGCTTTTATCACAATTATTTGAAAAGTTAATCAAGGTAAAAATAGGGCATAATACCTTTTAACCAAATTATCCTCTCTAGTTAGTGTTAAAACGAACTTGGAGCAATTCAGTTGTGAGATGAACTAGCCTGAATGACTGATTTATCTGTCTAGTTGTAGATGTCAATGGTGTTCAATTCTCTCAAGAGCTGTGTTGTCGGTATTCTGTAGGGCTCGAGTATGGCATAGGTGTGGAGTAAAGTGATGATTCTTATAAGGACGAGGTTGAAGTCAGCGTAAGGTATAGGATCCACTGAAGAGGTAAAGCTAAAGTGAGTAATAGGTGACGCTGGTACAAGAACAGCGGTCTTTTTTAGAGAAGAGATAGGTATATGGTAACAGGTATCAGTATAAATAGAAGACGTTGCGTGAAGAGGAATACTTCTTCATGCTCGGTTTATATGTACATCAGATAATAGGAAAGTCCTAAGCTCTGGCTTGAATAGTGTTACTACGCAATTCCTATGAAACGACCCTATGTTCCTGAGTCTGTCCTAACAGTTTAGGAACTCAATCTAACACCGAATTGTGTTTGGCATCGAACTCCTCATGGTGAAACATCCTGGAATCCACTACGATTATCCATGAAAAATTCCTGCGTATGACAATCTGTTGATTTAGATAATAATTGTTGGAAATTCACACCCTGGATGTTTGAAGTTTCCCTACGATTGGAACAACAAAGGTTCTCACACCTGAGTCACGACTGGGGTCAGTAACAGTCACCTCATTGAGCTTGTTTGGTGTACGAGACTCGACTGGAACATGGAGAGATGTGATACCCGTCGGGTACAGTTTGACTCATCGACCCTGTTCTCATTGTAATTGCTGGAGCATGGGACTAGGCTCGGGGTTGATACTTGGTTTGGATTTGGATTGCTGAGATACGTGTATATAAGCTGTCTAGGAGCATCCAAGACAGGTTAATTAATTCAATTCATTCTACATCGCACTTCTCTTTCTACAGCTTACTTTAATTTCTTCCGACTCATATTGATATTATTCTGTTGGTAAATCGCGCCCATATTCCTTGAGCTGCCTTACTCATCGAACTCATACCGATTCCACAACAATAATAACGCGAAAGGATTCTCACTTTATGTAAGAGGCGGGAAGACTTCTATCAGATGTGAGTCTACGGCATTTCCCAGCGCCCTGGACGGTATAAAAGAAGTTGGGCTAAGCTATCACACAGCAACCACGCTGTCAAAACTTTTCTGGCATTCCAGCTTAACCTTCGGGAAAGAGTTGGAAGGAGGCTAGAAAGGCAGAGGGTAAATCTTCCAAGGTACCCGTAAGTCTGCAGCGCCCAGCTGGCTGGCCTCTTTGAACGCTTCAGAAGGATCCGTATGTCTTCGGATTTAGTCCTCATGTCGGTATTAAGAGAGCCCCGTGCCCAGTGCTTTTTGCGATTATTCCCGGCTGCCATACACCCGCAAATGGCCATCGTTTCTTTGACTCGAGAGGGGAGATAATGACGGACAAAGGGCTCCTCTTAGTATATGATCGAATGAGGACTTGTGAGGGGTGATCCTGTTTGAGGGGAGCTGTATGGAAGGCATAAGAGGGAATATCTATTGGTATAGGTATCCTTGGCCTGTAGGTAGAGATGACCTGCATGTCCAACATAGTCATAGACTCAGACGGGGAGGGCAAGACTGAACGCCTGTACGCGGTGTCCTCTACGAGCCTGGGAGTGAAATATTCTCCCAGAGCCGAGTTCAGTCAAACATCGCAATACTGAACAAGTTGGCCCACGAGGCAATGATTCAAAATACTCCACCATATCAATCTTTCACTCCCAACGAAATCGATTCCTACCTAAGCCTCATCAAGTTTACAAGTACGACCTAGTACATCCTCATTCCAATGACCACACCTCTTTTCGACTTTCTCTGGCCATAGCTGGTCGCCAGATACACGCCCACGCCGATATTTACACCCGACGGAGGAAGCAAAGCGTGGCGCACAAATCTGGAAGACAATTCCTTGGGATGGATATGAGAGGGATCAGGACAAGTTAACAAGATGATGCAAAGGATGGATACAGTCTCGACGGGCGTGGAATTTTGAGTTTTGGCAAGGAGTTTTTACAAATTGTGCTTTGTGCGTGCCAAGACTTCGGCTGCGAGAGTGCAGGCAACACTATAAACACCGCCATGGTTGGATGGTGCGGTGGTACATCGTCTTGGCCGGTCTGCCAAGTAGAGTCTGGATAGCTTGGACACATATCCCACTTGAGACAGTAGATCGCTGGTTCAAATCCAGCAAAACACAACCACATTTCTCGCGGCGCTGGTATGCATGGATGACGAAGGCATGCTTGCATAACCAAAGGTTTCGAAATTCTCTTTGGTAGGTACTTACGGAGGAGGGTCGACTGTTTGTGTAAGCAAACATGCCTCATAGTGGTATTTGAGAATGAAATCCAGAGTATGAGTGTCACTAACGTCAAAAGAGTCATCCAACATGTATACATAGCACCGGTCATGTGTCATAGCTCCATAGCTGAATACACATTAAATGATTTAAAAAAAAAAGACTCAGACGGGACAATAAAATGAATTGAATTTAATTTCATTATCCTGATTTGGCACCATATGGCCCATGCAGGTGTCTACAATCTATAATATTTGCCCGGGAGGAAGCCTTTATGGTGAAAAACTTCCACAACTTTCTGCTTATAGTCTTTAGTTCTCACATATTTTCTTCAGGAAGCGCAATTACACTATAGTGCCATCCATATAAACCAACCAGATCATCTCTACTCACCCAAGCGTTATTTGATCTTTTCCTTTCCCTCGGCAGCATTTCAACCGCCTTTGTCATCTGGAATTGCTCTATCCAACCATGATCTAGGATCCACATTGTTATCCTTTTGATGTCTCCAGGATTATTTATCATCGCTTCGTAGGACCGATCTTTGGCTTGTCTCCAGATCTCAGCTCTACCATTTGACCAATAGGGGTAGGACATAATCATATGCTTGGGGTTCTATGATTGGTAGCCACATGGACAACCTGGACTTAATACTTCGGCTACTTTTCTTCTGTGTAAATACGAATTAAGCCCCATGTGCTCACTTCGTATTTGCATTGCCAAACTGCTATGGGCACTTGTCAGGTTACGATGAAAAAAGAATGGTGTGCCTTGAAAATTCAGTTTTTGCCGTCCAGACTCTCTACTTTGGTAAAATTTGGCTGCTCTCCAAGTCTTGGAATCTGCAGTTGCTAACAGCCGAGGCCTCCGAGTTTGTTTCTGCTTGGCCCAGGATTTTACCCACTCTCGGTGTGCCATGACTTTCACTATCTCTGTATGTGTCTTGGTTTGTTTTTCACCGCATATTCCTATCCAGTTGTGTCAAATTGGAGCTTAGAAGTTTGACCTGAAGCGGAATAGAAGGGCGAGAAGAGGTCGGATGGATCACTAGAGATGGCTGAAGGTCTACTGGAGATTAATAGAAGGAGCTAAAGGTTTGAAAGTTGGGTAATATAAATTGCTAAAATGTCTAGAGGTTTGAGTGGGTACTAATGGTAACTTAAGGTACAAAAGGTAACTGGAGGTAACTAGAGGTAATCCGATGATGGTGGTTGTGACAGAAAACTAAGCGTAGAGAACTTTAAAGCTACAGACCATGCCATCATATATATACCTACCCTCCTTCCACTAGCTCATCATAACATAGACCTTAACCCAGTATCAACATGATACCATGTGTCAAGGACTGTACTGTTGTCATAGCAATATAGAAAGAATGGTAAAATTATATACTGAAGGAAGGATCGGAAGAGGAATCCTTACAAGTTGGCAAGATCTATCCTCCTGTTAATTGTTCTTATATCTTCTCTCCGTTTTTTGGGCAGCTTGATTTTACTACAGGACGATAAAATGAATTTATAATGTTAATAATATGGA